CCAATGAACCAGGAGGGGTTCTGAGCTTTCTGGACCAAGTGAATCGGGCACAGCGAAGCATTCCAGACACGGGGCCGATCATAGTGCACTGCAGGTACGAACCAGTGGGCGTGGGTAATACAAATGTATTTCTTCTTCTTCGTTACACCTGCAGCTGGGTCATCACATGAGCTGGTGGTGGGCAACTGGGATATAAGTGTACCCGTGGGAAATACAGCCCTCCTCCAGAGCCTCACTGGTGAGAGTGCAGGGAAGAGCAGGCTTGGTCTGGAGTTGGTAGCTCTGATGCAGCCTGCTAGACTCTGATCTCCTCAGAGTCGGCATTTGGCTGGGTTTACCTTGTACCAGTCATGCCAGCTCTTCCCAGGGCAGACCAGGCATGCAGACGAGTGTGGGAGCTGAGCTGACTAACTCTGGGGAATGTTTCTTGCAATGATTTATTATGTGTTTTTTTTTTTTTTTTTCTTCTCTTTCCAGTGCTGGAATAGGACGAACAGGCACCATCATAGTGATAGATATTCTGGTAGATATTATTCACAGGCAAGGTATGTCTCCCTGTCTATCTCGTGGCTTTTGCTGTTTGCCTTGCTCTGACCAATTATTGGATAACCCTCCTCTTGTGCAAGCAGGGGGTACCTGATCTCCAGGCCAGGGGGTTTGACCTGTCAGGCCAACAGTGGGCATAGGCTCAGCCTGAATGCAGGGTGAGGAGGGCTTTTCTACTCTGCCCACTTCCCTGTTTCTCTGTGGGCCAACAAATGGAGCTCTGTCGTAATGAAACATGAACCCTCTCCAAACAGGAGCGCACAGGGCCAGCCCTCTAGTAAGGGAGATGCTTTCAGCAGCACAGCAGTCTTCTCCTTGGCATCAACAGGGCCACGATTTCAAGGTCTCCTGTCCAATTCTCTTTTATTGAGGGCAGAGAAGAGGGGAAACGGGTTCAGTAAGGGTGTAACTCCCATAGCCCTTTTAGAAACAAGTCCTCCAAACTCTTCTGTGCAGAAGGGCTGTCACCCTTACCTGAAACTCTAGAGCTGTTATAGAACTCCCCGTGGCATCTCTGGGTTAGGTCCAGGAGCCTCAAAGCTGGCTGACCCTCTTCAGCAGTGGTTGTATCTATTCTGTAAACCGTGCAAGGGTAGTAAGTCTGGATCTGTAGGAAGTCACCACAGAACAGACCTAATTTCCCTCCCCTCTCCTTGCTTGAAGCAAGTCAGTCCTGTCTCAGCCGTTCTCAGTCCAAGATGTTCTGTTGGGGATTAAAAAATAAACAAATCTCCTAGGCACAGAGATGCGCCAAATCCTTTCACAATATTCTGGGGCTTTTCTGACACTGTGCAGCAAGATGCAGAAAGCTTTCAAAGCTGTCTTAAGGAAATAATTTCTCAACTTAATTCCCACTCCCTAAACCTCACCTTCTCGCTCTTGAGCAGGTTTGGACTGTGACATTGACATCCCCAAAACGATTCAGATGGTCCGCAGGCAGCGTTCGGGCATGGTGCAGACAGAGGCTCAGTACAAATTTGTTTACATGGCTGTTCAGCAGTACATTGAGGCCGAGCAGAAGAGGTTGGAAGAAGAGCAGGTGAGACCCATTTGGCTTGGTTGGAAAAGTGGGAGCTTGGCCCACACCAGCCACTGCTCCCACCTTCTCGGTGGAGCTCAAATACTGCCCTGCACACATGGAAATAAACCTACCCCCATTGCTCCCCTGCTGCCATACAGGACCTTGTAAGGCTTTCTTCTGCATCTGCTTTGCTTGGGAATTTATTGTCTTTGCTTTCTCTTTCAGAGGAATAAAAGGAAAGAGCGAGACTACTTGAATATCGGCTACTCTCCTATGGAAAAAGGCAGAGCCAAAGGGCAGCCTCCTTCACCACGGACCCAGTCTGTGTAAGCTCAACATCTCTGCCAGGGCTAAGAACTTCTGCAACCGTAGAGAGAACAGCTTGAGCAAAGGCCCCAGTATTTATCCTTTGCCATCCTGCCTCTCCCATACCTGAAACCTTGACTGGTTGCTGACTATCGTATGGGAATGGCTAAAAATAAGCAGGTGATCCCACCACGCTGTCAGCTGGGGTGTTTAAGCAGCCCACCTTGCTTGTGCGCTACGCTTTTGGGAAGGAGAGGAGGGAAATGGCTCTCAGCCTTTAGCATCTAGTGCCCCATAGCCATGGCTCTGGAGAATCAGCTAGAGTGAAACTGTGCTACTGCAACTGAGGGACTTCTACAGCAAAATCTGAAGGAAGACGAGAAGAGAGCAGAGGGAGGTGGATTCACACCCATGTGGAAAGGCAGCATGTGCTAAGTAGCATGAGTTCCTTACATAAGCAGAGATAAAATACCCCAAATTATGTTTTTCCCTCTTGTCCCAAGTAATGGGATATCAGCTAGTGATGGACAGGGGGTTATAAGTTGAAGGTGAGTGGGTAGGGACATATGTCAGTTATATAATATCAGAGCTCTTGGGCACCTTGAATTGCAGGATCAATTTTTGAAAGAAGAGACGGCTAGGCAGAAGCAGAGGAGTGGGTGTTAAAGTGGAGGCAGAAATGCTGTTGCTGGGCTCACGCACAACGAAAAATCCAACTGAAGAGAGGAGGGCAAAAGGAGATGTCACACATTCTTCTCTGGGCGTTTGGCCACCGCCAGAGTGTTGGTGGCTCCTGCCTGCTGTGCCCAGGGCTGCCTCTGCGGGAGAAGCTGGAGCTGGGACCGGTGGCTGGGGTGCTCCGGGCTGGGGTGCAGAGCAGAGAGGGCAGGAGGAGGCAGGGAAGGGCACAGCACCCCAAAGGCAGGCGCAGGCAGAGCCGCTCTGGCCCTGCGGCACATCCATAACTGCAAAGACCTTGCTAACATGCAGTGCTGAAGGGAAATCTGGATCCTCCACTGGTATTATGGACCTTCCAGTTCCTGCTGGATCTGGCCAGTTGGGATCTTCCCCGTTGGACCCTGGAAATGTTTGTATCCTGTTTAAAATGCCTGACTTTGAAACAGCAGCTCTGAATAAAAGAGGGTGGGGAGGACTGTGTGGGACTGAGCTGAGCAAGGTGAGCTCTATGTGGCTGGTGCTGTCGGCTCCAGAGAGCTCCTGTGAGTTCAGCGTTGGGTGTCAAACCTGCTTTAGAGGAACTTGGATTTGGCTTTTGGAGCAGCCCTCTCCTTCCATTAGATTTTGGAAAATCCAAAGAATTTGGATATGTAGAGAAAGTAAGAGTAGGAAATACCAGGAACTGTATCCACTGATCCTGCAGAAACTTTGCATCTATGAAAGGCTGACATGGAGGAAGGTTTAAAGCTCCATCCTCAAGCTGTATTTGAACATAAGAGGGGGTGGCCCAGCCAAAGGGAAAGAAAACAGGGATTGAAAACAGCAGGTAACACGATGTTGTCCTATTTACAAGGCTGGGGGGGTGAAAAAGGGAGCTTGGCTGCGCCATTAGCCACTTCCCACTGGCCTCCTGCCTCTGGGAGAAAATCCAGAGTGGTGAGGCTGTTAGTAACAAGGCTTTGTTTCTTGACAGGGCTGATGATGAGTCAGCTTCCGTCTACGAGAACCTTAACATCAAAAGCCCAAAGGTTTCAGGGATGAGTAATACAGGGCGATAAAGGAGCCGGAGGTGAGCTGTATGGAGGCTGTACAGGTAGGAATGCTTCCCTTGAATAACTGAGAGTGCCACCACAGTCTGCTTGCATTGCGTTTGACCCAGCTCCTCCTCAGCTCAGCTTATTTAGATCTCTGCGGCTCTGCCGGCATCGGGGAAGGCAGCTGTGCTTCGATGAAATTTGGCAGCACCTAAAGATGCGGCTGTGGCCGGATGCTGATGGGAGAACGGGGGGAGATGGGGTAATGAGATCTCAGCACACATTTACAGCGTTTGCAGTGGTGGGGGGGTGGGGGTGGGGAGATCTACTTTTTGGACTGTTATGTCAGGAAGCCGTCAGACACGGAGAACAAGCCTGTGCTGTGTATGCAAACGAGTAGGAGACTTCACACGCCGGGAGTGTCTCAGCTCTGTGACCTTATCAATGCACTTTTCTCCCAGTTATAAACCATGCCACCCTTCTTCCTTCTGTTTGAATGCAGGATTTACAGTGTTTACGTCCACCCTTTCCAAGTTCTGCAATTGCGGACAATTTTTTTTGCCCGTCTTGCCTTCCCCAAGCACCTTGGATTCAGCGAGGAAGTAAGAAGTCTGACTGTAAGAAGCAAGCAGAGTCTGTGCCTAAGAACATGCCTTGACCTAACTTATTCATCAGAAGGATATTCTCCCCTGCATCAGTAGGTTGATATTTATGTGGAAGTGCCTCTGGACATTCATTAGGGCATCAAGGCTCAGTTTAATTTTTTTTTTTTAATTTAAGATGCTTATTTTTTACACACAAATTGTTAAAAGGAACGGAAATGACTATTTGCTTAAGAGCTTCCCAGGGTTGCCCACTTAGGGTATTAGTAAAATGTTAGTAGACTTTAATGTTTTCATTAAGTCAATCATTTCTAAGCTAGAAGTGGCTTTAGACTAAATCCTGGAGTAACTTCGCTGCCTGTGAGGGTGAGAAATAGCATGTGCTGCCTGGACCCAGGTATTTACACCTCTCTTGATTCTTTTTCTCACACTTACTTTTGGCTGTACCAGTTCTAGATTTCTATGCAGAGCACCCCGAGCAGTCCCTGCTGCTGTAGGGCAGCAGATGCCTGTGTGTGTGCCCGAGAGCTTGCTAGCTGCTCTGCGCCTGGGTTTCATAGCAGAATTGAGAGAAAGAGGTGAGCATCTCCACCTTTGACTGTGGGTCTGAATACTGAGCTAACTGATATCCCACCTAGCTGATGGGTGCTGAAGAGTAGGAAAGCAGCTTTGTGTGCTGTGCTTTTAGCCACCCCTAGTGAGTAACAGCTGAGGATACTAATCCTCAAAAGGGAACTTTTTGAGCTGGGCCCCTCTAAGCTTGATGCAGCTCTGCCGTTTCCTTGCTGCATGACCTCTCTTTTCCCCCCCACCCCCCCTTGCAACTTATATGACAAGGCAAGTTTTGTGTCTGCTGAGTAGGGGTGTTGTAGGAGTGTGTGTGACTTGACCAGTGCCATGAAGATGAACGTGTCACTGAGTAGAGTATTCCAGCTCTGTTGATAAGTCTTGACTTGTGACTGCCAGTGCTTCCTGCTGTTCCAGCCCTAAGGCCTGCAAACAGTCCTGCCAAAGAAACCCTTCCTGCAGGATTCTGTGGGGAGCCTTGGGTCCGAGTGCCACTGCCTGAACCTCCAGCGCATGTGTGGGGCTGATGTTGGAAGTCCTAAGTCTCTGGAACTGGTTGGACTTGATGCATGGTCGGGGTGTTTGTGCCTGGAGTGCCAGCTCCAAGTGTTGAGCAGAAGGGGTTGAACTAAAGCACAATGACATACCTTGGCTGTGTTTCCTGGCTGGTCTTTCTGGTCCCTTGGCACAGGGACAGGAGAACTGTTTATTTTTATTGCACTTTTAATAAATGTTGAATATTCTCAAGGCGCTTTTTTTTTTTTTTTTCCCCTTTCTAAGTAGTTTGCTTTTTGGGAAAGTGACTGACAGTGTGAATAATGAGGCATCCTGAATGTCTCCCATTGCCCAATTCTACAGTTCAGGGCCCAATTTTCACTTGCTTTGAACCTTCCTTTTGACTATGCGTGAGTGAGAGGTTCAGCTGCATGTTAGCTAAACCTTCAACCTTTGTTTCTATGTAAATGGTGAGAAGGGGAGGTGCAAAGGGACAGCCCCCACAAGGATGCTGCGACAGACCACTAGGAACACTTGGAACTGCGAGAACATCTCTGTGGCCCATTTGCCACCATAACAATAGATTTTATGAAGCTGAAGATGTTATATCTCTCTCCCCTGCCCTTAGGTCTCATCAGTGGGAGTTGAAGGGTAACAAAGATGTAATGACAGAGCACTTCATCTCTACTAAGTGTCTATTTGCTGGGCTTAGTCCCAAATGCACCTTGGGTAAAATGGAAGTGCCTTCTCTGCCTTAAGTCTTGCTGAGTCACTTTTTTCAAGAACACACTTAAATTGGTGCTCTGAAGATATCCTTTCATTGGCAAGCATGGGGAACGGACAGGATGATACAAGTGAGAATCCCTGTCAAGCCCAATGACTTTGGCAGAAGTTGTTACAGTGCCTGGAGTAGTTTCTGCAGATGTGGCTGGCACAGATAATACCAGCCCGCAGCTGAGCAACAAAGGTATTGCAGATACAGCACATGCAAGAGCTTTCCACAGAAGGTTTGCACAGCAACGGACTTGAGTTACTTCTGCCGTTGCTTCAGCTTTTTCTATTTCAAATTAGATTTTCTGAAAAGGGAGACTGGAACCATCTTTCATCCAGCTGGGAAGACGCAAAAGATGAGCAGTCTTTGGAGCTTGTCATTTTTCAGGTCAAATCGGGTAAACACAGAGGAAAGGGACACCTGGGACAACACCACCTAGATGATAGTAAGTATGAATTAAAGGGATAAAGCTGTCCATGAGTGCAGGATTGTTCAACACTGGGACAACTGGACCAGAGTACAGACGTGCCATGTGCTGTTTCGCTACCATGATCTAGGAATGCAGCTGGACTCAGGACTGCTAAGTGAACCTCTCCAACTGCAAATAAGAAGGGAAATGTGGAGTAACTGCTACAAATTGACACCTTGCATTGTATAAAACATAATTTAATACATACATGCATGGTACTTGCATACAATACAGTCTTACATCCATGTGTTTGAATAGAAAACATTTAATTATAAATCGCCTTAATCATGAAGACTTTTGTTAATCACTGTCAGAAGATCACTGCATTAAATAAAAATACAGTGTAAGCAACTGGCCTGTGTCTTAATACTGACACCTTTTAAGATTAGGAGGGTAAAACTGTCAAAAGATGGAACTTCTATCATTTTGTCAACAGTTTGCCTGTGAGAAGTATGAGTGAAGTTCACTGATAAAGTAACTTGCTGTGTCAGTGTGCCTAACAGAACTCGCCCCCTCTGTTCAAAATCACTGTCCAGGTAGGGATGGGTGATTTTTAAGCATCTTCTTAGGAAAGAATGAGTAGAATGGCTATTCTGTTCTGTTCAAAAGCTTATCAGGATGGTAATGCGACTCAAGGGTGGGTAGTAGTCATAGATCCGTGTTTTGTCAGCAGGAGGCAGCATTTACACCTCCAACATCGAGTAACGCAGCAGCAATGTTTCAAGTGTATGGAATAAGGCTAATTTTCATCTGCGTATACGACTTTGACATGTCTTTACCCTCCCGATCCCAGCTCCTCTCGGGAATAATCATGTAGAACCTTCAGGTTGCAAAAATAGCCCTTTATTCCCTAAGGGAGTTAGAGGAACTGTACCCACTGTCACCTGTTACCCAGCCAAGACAGCACACGGCCGTGTGCCGCTCGAGGCAACCAGTCCTAGAAAACCTGCCTGTTCCTTCCAAAGCTCCGGTTTCCACTGAGAGTTTGGCAGCGGGATGCTGAGGCAGCTGCTTGGAGCATTCCAGGGCCGGAGACAGCTTGGCAGGCAAAGTATTCCAGCAGAGCTGCTGGAGGTGGAGGCTTGTGGTCAAGGGCAGGCGCGGGAGCGTGGGGTCAAGGGCCTCTGGGTCTGCCATTAAACCGAGGAATGCCATCGGGGCAGCAGGCCCTGGTCCGGCCCCCCCGCCGTGCCGGGGGGTGTGGGGAGGGAGCCGCCAGCCTGGCGAGGGGCTGCTACTGGAAGGGGGGTTGTGTCACCGGTGCTGCCGGTGTGGTGAGTTTAGGGGGAAGATACTCCGGCCTGCTCATTGCAACAGTCCTCGTGAAGCAGCGGAGGTTCCCCGTCTTCAGGGCACACTGGACTGGCCACAGAATGATGCAGAAGAGGATGATGATCAGCGCGGAGAGGAGGACTATGCGTTTCCAGTCGTCGCACATGTCGCAGCGGGACAGCCTCCCAGCTAACCCCGCCGGGGGGGCCTCCGGGCTTTCTGGCTTGCTCATGGCGACGTCAATGGAGATACAGGAGTCTGGATTCTCTGGGTCATCAGATGCCTGACGGCAGCAGAGCTTGGTCCCGTCCATCCAGAGCACCTTCTCCTGCTGGAGTTCAGGAGGCAGCGTGGCGAGGAGCTCCTTACTGGTCTCAAGTGCTGGGGCACCTTCCAGAGGGATGCTGGTCAGCTGCCTGCAGAAGGGGCAGGGGAGCTGGTCCTCTGCTTGGTTTGGGGGCAGCCCCGTGCTCAGGCGGGCCACACACTCCAGGCAGAAAACGTGGGAGCACTGGAGCAGCTTGGGCGTCTTGAAGGTGTTGTCATAGGTGTTGAAGCAAATGGAACACTCAACGGGGGAGGTTGGCTTTGGAGATGTTGGGTTTGGAGAGCCTGGCTTGTCGGTTGGGGACCTCGCCTTCCTCTTGCCATCTCCTGGGGAGGTGACGACAATGGGGCTGATGGGGATGGGGATTTCACTTGGAGAGGCAGGGACAGGGCTGGTGGGAGATTCTGGCGTGTTGGAGTGCCACAGTTGCGTGAAGCACGACATGACGGTGCCCGGGGAAGTAAATAGAGCCCTGGGAGACTCTAGAAGAGAAGAAAATCACAGCCTTCATTTTAAACAATGTGAAGACATCCATCACCAGACCTATGTTTAACCCCTTAGAAGGAACAAAGAGCAAGTTCATGACTTCCACTGCATCCTGAGCCTGGAATAGATCCCTGCTAGAGGTGAGAATGACACAGGTAGCCTGTTGTAAGCTGCATACCAAAGGTGAAGTTAAACATCCTGCAAAGAAGCAAGCAACCAGCAGAGATCCACCGTCCAGCCAAAGCCTTTCCACCAGAACCACCATGGCATTATAGATGGGTGCAGTCTTTCCCCGTACATGCCTCCCTCTGGGCAGAACAAACAACAAAAACCTACCCCAGCTGGTGCTCCCCGACACCTGAGCAGGGAGGAGAGCAGAAGACTCCATGAGGTCAAGTAGGGACCTCGCTATGGCAGTCTATTAGTCTGGGAGGCACTCAGCTGTTATGCTGGCAGCATGAGCAAGGCCTAAGAGACAGATAACACTATTCAGTTGTGGAGGTAGCAGGGGGGGTGAGTCTCTTCTCTTTGGTGTGCTCAGACAGAGCTTTGTGCCTTGAATTGTGGCTCTGCACACGAGCGAGGCACCCGCCAGCGATGCCGCCTGGTTTTGTCTCTCCACAGTGGGATGTGAATTCCCTCGTGTCGTGGGAGGTGAGGGGAATGTTACCATCTTGCAAAGTTTGTTCCATCCTTGGCCGCGAGCAGCACAAGGAGCACCTCTGTCTTGTCACCATGACACAGCAAGAAAAGCAACGTTGGAGGAAATGGCCTTGGTGCCAGCGCAAGGGGAATTCTCCACTGTTTCCTTGTCGCCCTGGTTTCCCTAGGGAAACGCAGCTCTTCCCCGTCCTCAGCCCTGGAGGAGTGCCAGCACGGCCCAAACCTTGCTCCGCGCTGCCACGTGCTCTCTGCTTTGGTGTGGTGTGCAAGCAGCAGCCTGGAGTTGAACCGCTGATACGCCAGCTTTAGCAAATTGGTTTACAACTTACCCTAGCCTTTTCAGCAACCTAAGTATTACACTGAATTCGAGTCATCCTAGGCTGGACCTGCAGCTTTGTATACATTCCAATATTCAGACATACAACTTTTCAGCTACTGAGCACTTTTACCTTAAAGCAAGTGTTTAGCTGGAGGAAATTCCCAGCAAGGGCCCTGATGCTGTATGCCTGGGGAACATTTTTTTAGAATGTGTCACTGAACTAGCTAGGCTTGATTCTTTGTGTTGGGAGATTTACTGATGACAAGTCAGAAATGTTCAGATTGCTGCTGTAATTATAGGTCTTCAGTCAATCCAGCAATGGCTCACCAGCACAGGCTAGAGACTCCAGTCTTGGCATAAAAGGCTAATTTAAGATATCAGAAAGATGGAGTATTCCTCACATGGCAGAAAAAAAGTCTCCATTATTTAAGAACGAAGCATTCTCCCCTCTCATATCACAGCTATTATTGCCAGAGCTGAAACCAACTTTAAGAACCTTCCTTCTTTTTCTTCTCTTATTCTAAATGAATAAGTTTTTGTGAAGCCTTTTCTTAAGTTCAATTTTCAGCCACAGACTATCTGCACTTTTCAAAAAATTATAATTTTGTGGTTTTTTAATATGTTTTTTTCTGGCTTCGGATCACCATGCATGTTTTAGCACAATCTGGCAGATGCTGATGAATTACAAATCCAAGCACAAATTGGCACAGAGATGAGGGAAACCCCTGTTTGCTTTGTTTGTTTTGTTTTTTACTAAATTTTATGTTTTGCAGAACTCCATCCCATATACCCAGTTTTTTGCAATCCCTCATCTAGGAGTGTTTGTCAGAAATTACGAGCAGCAAAACCAGTGGCAGAAGATAACCCCAGAAAGAGAGTCTTTGCTTATGCAAACTGTAATTTCATAAACTATGTGAAAAAGCTGTTTTTCTGGGGTTTTTACTAGTTTGTAATACGACAGCTATCGCAACAGCAGTACCCTGATAGTAAACTTGAAGTTTACTCACAACAGTTGCTTTTAAATGAAGACACAAGTTTTTGCCCACATTTTCCCTTTGCTAAAGATGATTGTGACACTACAGGTGCTTGGTAGTTTTAATAAATTTAGAGTCTACTTATTTTTATTAACATCTTGGTGTTATGTGGCACCTTGATCAGACACGACACAGGTAGTTGACTTAAACTGGGGAGATATGAAGAATAGGGCACAGAGCCGAGGCAGGAGAAAGACAGTTTTAATTCATACTCTGCCGGGATGGACAGGTCAGCCTCTGCCTGCTTCTTGTGTCTTTTGGTGTGTTGCCACACTGCTGTTGCTCAGAAAGTTAAACTGGGTTTGGGCAGCAGCTAACGCAGGGACCGAGACTGCTCCTGGGTGCTCCTACTGAACTACTACATGAGAGCCCGTCACTAAAGCTGGAGAGCCCCAGGGAAGACATGCAGTGTGGGATCTGAATAGAATTCATTAGGGTTTGGGAGGTTGGTTTGTTTGTTTTTCTGTTGGGGATTTTTTTTTTGTGCTACACAATCACATTATTTACTTATTTATTTATTTTAATACAAGACAATATCTTCAGTTGTTCAGACCTCCATGGTCACACTGCATTTCCTCAGACCCTGCAGCTATTTACCCAGCTTTCCCAGCTATTTACCTGGGTTTTCCATAAACTTTGAAAACATCAGAAAAAACTAAGCCATTCAGGAAAGACACAATAACTAGTTTTAAATCTGAGTTTAAGTACTTTTTATGTCCCAACAAGTTCTAAAAAAGGTATTTCCACACCATAAAACCAGACAAAAGAGGCCACGCGGTTAAGATAGCGGCCAATGCTGTTCTGTAATACGATTCCCTAATGGTCTCTTTAACTCAGAGCAACCGAATACACAGCAAGTTAAGAGGTGTACAGCAGATTAAAGTCTATAAATACCTGTTCAGAGTGCTGTTTAGAAGGAGAAAAGCATGTTCTGGGCTCTTGATGTCTATCCCTGAAGAGTCTTCTCTCCAGAGGATAGTCTCAGGCTCAGGTCTTTTGTATTTATAAGTCGCCTTCTGGTATTCGAGCTCCCCGAGTTGTTTGCAAGCACGGAAGGTCTGGCAAGACAAGTAACCTCTAACAGCTCCCTGCGTACCAGTGGCCCTGCCGCTGTAATTCAAGTATCTTTTATACCTTCCTGTCCAGAGGTGACTTACCTGCTCCACCCGCCCTTCCCCATCACCACTGAATCACTCCGTTGGCTGCGAGCGCTCCCGCTCCGGCCGGTTTCTGTGACAAACTGGGCAGGCTGGAATGCTCCTGATAAGGGCCAGCTGCTGCGAGGATACCCTCCTGCCTCTGCCCCAGGGAAGCACTGTGAGAAATGTTTATTTCTTCATCTTCTCCGGAGTGGGGGAGGCTGCCTGCTTTCTGGTAAATTCTTGCAGTTCTTTGACTAGCTTTGAGGGTTTTTTAAATTTTACCCAGCATAATCGAGTCCAGTTTGTGCAGATGTAGTGGCCACGTTTTCACAGGGCAGCAAATCTTCTGAAAGAAAATTTTAGGACATCTGAAAATGGCAGTTATTGGTCTCTTGTTTCTTCATGAAGGACAAATAATTTGCAAGCACCTTAGATTAACAGCAGAAATAAGATTCTGAGAGTCAAATTTCTTGTGATTGGTTGAGAAAAAAATTGTTGCAATAGAAAAATCCAGAGTAAATTTGAAAGCTGTTTATAAATTAAATGAACCACTCTATACAATTATATGTCTGCTTCAAGCTCATGTACAATTGTTCAAAATAATACTGTATGGATTGTCACAGCGAAGGAATTTCATTCTTTGCAGCTTGAGGTAATAATTGACACAGAGAAATATTACTCGACCTGCAAACCTTTTGTGGTTCAAAGGACATCAGTCCAATACCCAGAAAAAAGAACCAACAAATTTACACTCCTGCAGATAAAGAAACAATTGGGTGGGGCAGGGGGAGGATGTAACAAACATTTGGATCTAGTTCTTATTTGTTGCAAATAGTACTTTTTATTCTGTTTCTCAAAAAAACAACACAAGATGGTCTGTAGATCTTTTCAGGATGGTAACAGGAAGTCCTTTTTTAAAAAATGGTTGAGAAATTTCACTCTAAAAATGGATGGAACCATATTCATCTCTTGGGACAGAGAAGTGTTTAAACCCCATAGACTTTAGTGGCAGTCAGATACAACTCGCTTTGGCTTCCACATTCCTCTGCTTCAGGTCACACTGTTCAGTTCTAGTGAGCTGAAATCCAAAATGAGGCTTTTTAGACTAAGAGAAGCATGTTGAAATTGCCAAAGTTTTAAATCAGTTTTAGGATTAAAGCTAAGGTTACCCAATCCTTCCACAGCTAGAAGGATCTGGTCTAGAGCACTGTTCCTCCAGTGGATTCAGGGTGGGCTCCGTGGGTGACTCTAGAAGACAAATACCTCCATGGAGAATGCAGGTTAAGCCTAAACTTTCCCAGATCTGCATCTCAGTGGTATAGCTTCCTCAGTGGAGGGTGCATATACCATAGGAATAACAACCCATACGCTAGACCGAGCACACAACACCACCCGCACGGTTTTCTCCCTCATCTATTTATGTTGCTGTTCAGGGATGAGTGAGGCCGGGAGCAAACGCTGTCTGCAGCTGACAAAGCAGGATGTTTGATGAATGGATGTAAATCAGATCGTTAAAGGTCTTGCTCACTTAGTCACTTGCATAAGTGCTTTGGTAAACTGGGTTCAAAATTAACAATGCTTCAGTAACGTATTGGCATATGTTGCATTCAGTAACACACCAAGGAACAGAAGTCCTTGGTTTGGGTCTAGCTGAGACCCTCTCAGTAGACAGTGGAGCAACACTAATTCACTTTTTGATCATGCTCTAAAGAAAGAGGCACATTTTAATCACGTTTTAAGCCATTTATCCACTGACAAGATCAGGCTTGCTGAACTGCAGTGTGAGCAGCCTACCACCCTTTGAGTTCCCGTGTTTCTGAGGCTGGTTTCAGCCTCATTGTGTCCACTTTGAGTCCAGCCCAGAAGCTGGGAGCCTGGGGCAAACTGGGCCACCTCACATGTGCCTGCACCCTCCTCCCTCTGCAAGGAAACGCCAGGTAGGCAAGGCACTGAGTGTGCCGAGAGCCAGCATCATCCTGGGATGACGATCAGATCAAGGGCTTGGCTTCCAAAAGTGAGTGGGAGGCTTGCTATTTTTATCTTCTGCTTGGAGGAATTGACTGAGCCGGTCAGGAGCTGCAGCTGGGCTTGGGTGGATCCCAGAGGATGGGGAGCAATCAGTTGTGGGAGCACATACTTTCCTGTTTGCACTTAAAGGAACAGCAGTACTAAGTAGAAACAGTTACTTTATTAATACTGTTATTTTCTTTGACTTGTATTACACATGCACTCCTCAGGTGCTTCTCAAAAGTATTCTCTCTGTGAAGATGTAGGGGTATGCAAACAGCAGTCTGAAAATACTTGTTCTAAATGGATTTTTGCTAAGCAATGCAGGCGTGAAGATGCTGTGACTGGAACACTGGGTTGAGATGTAGGAGATACATATCTCTCCTGTAAACACTGTGACCTTGGACAAAACACTTAATTTCCATGGATTTCTGTGTCTGGTTTCCTAAAGAAATAATTAAACAAATGAAAAAAAAAAATAAGAAAAGGAACTGTAAGATTTCCTTTTTGGTCATAGTCTTTGTCTGGATTATGTGTTCAGATGGGAACCTGTGATGGATGGGTGCTGCCTAGTACTCCAGCTGCCCACAGTGGCTCCAGCCAGAGACCTGATGTAGGATCCCACCTGCAGTGCATAACTGTCATTGAAACACTGAAGCTTTCAACTGTCAGACCCTTCCCGCAATCACCTCTCCCTATTTACCAGCATCAGTAACCAGTGCCACCTCACCCAGGACTGTGGGTGAAGTGATGAGATCTTCTAAAGGGTACGTATTCTTTTCAGGGGGGTTTAGGAAGGTTTGTAATGAGAAAGATTATTTCTAACAGCAACTGCTAACTGGTTGAAGACATGACCATTTAAAAACTTGTAAGCCAGGCTCCTTAGTGTGAAGAGAAGCAAAGTATACTGCAGAGTAATAAAAACAGACTGCTGATTATAGCTTTAGGCTGTTTCCTTGGCTTGTCTTCACTTCCACCACTCCCCAAGTATATAACTCTTTTCATTCTCTGTGTAGTTCATCTCAGTAGATAAACTTAAGCCACCAAATAAAGAAGGGTAGAAAGAAAAATCAAAATCAAAACCCACCAACCAACAAACAACAAGCTTCCTCTGATCTCTTTCTCCCTTCACCCAAGGCTAGCTTGTTTCTCACTGTTACATACCACTTAGCACATCTGGGGTGCTACCTTTTTGTTCATGTTTTAGGTATTGTTTACAGCTCTGATATATTGGGCTACAACCTAAGGCCATGTATAAATCCTGGAAGGGCTTTAAAAGGCCTTTTGTGCTGGGAGAAACCCAAGGGAAGAGTTGCAGCAGAAGCACAAAAGTGCCAAGAGCCAAGCTGCTTTGGACTCAGCCTTTTCAGGACAAAACTCCAAGGTATGTGGTGTTATTCCTGCTTACAACCGATGTGTTTATTAGGTTCATGGAGCCGCACCTTACTTTCAAGGGAAAAAATAAGGGTATGACTTAGGACAGATAAACTGGTTTTAACGGGGTGCAGACAAGCCTGTTTAAATCAAACCCCGTTGTGCAACATGGAACAGAAGTTTCTGCAGGGTTAAATGCTTACAGCAGGAGGATACTACTTAGACTGTGTTTTCTATTAGCTCACACGTTCACGTGCCTGCACCCAAGCTACTGAAAGCCAGTGAAAATATACACATGCACCCCCCCGGTCCCCCCAGGTTCTGTGACTTCTGGCACAGGCGCAGCACCATGTCCCAGCTCTCCACTTCACGCTGTTATCATCCGTTAATCAGATGCAGAAGAGGTGGTGAGACCCAATGCTGCCTGAGTTTTCCTGGCAAACAGTTCTTTAGCCTCGAGTTCGCACCACTTTTTGATCCTGCAGTGTTCCTCAGAGTCTGAAGGCCTGATGCTCTATGCAATTAATGCTCCAGGGTGGTAAACAGCACCATTAAGTGATGTTTCCCATGCTAACTCACGGAGCTCTTTCATTTGTCTGGCTTCACGTGCAGCTAGCTGCCTAACCAGGTGTTGGCTGTGGAGTTTTATCATTGTTGCAGTAGTTTGCACCTATGGCTAGACTGGGCTATTTAAATTCCAAAGTATGTATTATGTACTGTCAGGAAAGAGCCTTGGTGAGTCATCAGATAAGCTAGACAGGAACTTACTGTGGGATACTTTTAATATAATTATATTTTATCCTTCTCTAACTGTTTCTATCAGACGATCTCGAGACACTTCACAGACATAGTGAACTGAGCCTTCCAGTAACTGTTTATTGAGGACGTTACCTCATTTTACAGCTGGGGAAGTCTTGTGGTGCATGGGAAGCCCAGACAACACTGAGAAATGCTGCTCTGACCTCTGTGCAAGCAGCAGCACCTGGACAGGTTGTGCCCCTTAGCATGGCAGAGTGACTTGCCAGAGTGGAGGGATAAGAATTTAAACAGGCAGTGGAGTGGGAAACACCATCAGAGTTGTACATTACTGATAAATACCCACTAAGATAATTTGATACAGATTTAGAGGAAAAAACTGCTCCTGTTAGAGCCTCAGATTGTGTTCCTCGGGTGACTCCTGTCCTCTAAGTGATGCCCATCTTTACTGACTAGGCCAAGCCCAAGTTCTAAAACAATGTGCCTCTGTATTTTAATCTCATTCAAACATTGGATCCACCTGGCACCTAACTTTGCCCTGTTCTTCACTTCCTGTAGTTACCAGGGAAGCACCATGATTAGATAATCATTACAAGGTACAGATGCAACATAGCAATTTTCCTGATACTCATGTGACTATTACTCTTCAGCAGCTTGAGGCTGTGTGATTCAGCCACTCACGGCTAGATCCTCAAATAGCAAGAATAGCATCCATTCCCTGGACATAAGGTCAGGTCTTTTTTTCTAGCCCATTATTTCTGAAGGAGTAAGTGACTTGGATCAATGGCTAGAACTGTGGTCCATAAATCATTGGTGATCCATGATACTATGC